ACACCAGCGATGATTGCGAACCAAAACCCGAGGCAAAACTTGTGGAGAAAGAGGTCATGGAAGACCCTGTTGTGGATACAGTAGTCATACCAGAACCAGAACCTGAGCCGGAGGAACCAGAACCTGAGCCGGAGGAACCAGAACCTGAACCAGAACCTGAGCCAGAGCCAGAGCCAGATCCCGAGCCGGAACCAGAGCCGGAACCAGAGCCAGAGCCAGAGCCAGAGCCAGAACCAGAACCAGAACCAGAACCAGAACCAGATCCAAAACCAGAGCCAGAGCCAGAACCAGAGCCAGAGCCAGATCCCGAGCCGGAGGAACCAGATCCTGAGCCGGAGGAACCAGATCCAGATCCTGATCCAGAGCCAGAGCCAGATCCCGAGCCAGATCCTGAGCCAGATCCTGATCCAGAGCCAGAACCTGAGCCAGAGCCGGAGGAACCAGATCCAGATCCTGATCCAGAGCCAGAGCCAGATCCCGAGCCAGATCCAGAGCCAGATCCTGATCCAGAGCCAGAACCTGAGCCAGAGCCGGAGGAACCAGATCCAGATCCTGATCCAGAGCCAGAGCCAGATCCCGAGCCAGATTCAGAGCCAGATCCTGATCCAGAGCCAGAACCTGAGCCAGAGCCGGAGGAACCAGATCCAGATCCTGATCCAGAGCCAGAGCCAGATCCCGAGCCAGATCCTGAGCCAGATCCTGAGCCAGATCCTGAGCCAGATCCTGATCCAGAGCCAGAGCCAGAGCCAGAGCCAGAACCTGAGCCAGAGCCAGAGCCAGAACCTGAGCCGGAACCAGAGCCGGAACCAGAGCCAGATCCTGATCGAGAGCCAGAGCCAGAGCCAGAGCCAGAGCCAGAGCCAGAGCCAGAGCCTGATCCTGAGCCGGAGCCAGAGCCTGATCCTGTACTTGTATTATTGTTTGCATTTGTAGTCGTTGTTCCACCAGCTTCTTCATTGGTAGTTGACGAGGAAAGAGGGTGACAAACTTCCTTAGTACATACCACTGTTGCAGTTGTACCTCCGGTAACTGTTACCATAGTAGATACCTCCTCTGAAAAAAAACTGCTTGTAGTTCCAGTTGTTTTAGTAGCAGGTGAAGTGTTTGCACCTGAAGATTCATCTGCAAAAATGGTAGAAATCACTCCAGGTGCGACAACAACTTCAGTGTTTTCATACTCATTGTT